TGATTAGTTGTGAAATTTCTTTGTTCGTTACGGCGACAACCATGGAAGGCATTTTGCTCGCAACTTACGCGAGTTTGGCGTCGCTCGCTCGGAGGAACTGGAGGTGAATCAGTGAATAGTGCAGGATATTCACTGATTGAGTAGCCAATCACAGCGCGCAAAAAAAACACTATCCACTGTTTTAGTATATACTAAAGTAAAATATTCACAAATTCCCGCAAAAAAGTGTTTGAAATTTTTAAATACACAATAGACAGAGTAACAAACAGACCTTCCTCTCGTTGGAAATTGTAGATATATTAACTCCAGATGGAGGATAAGCCTGTAAAAAATGCGTCTTCACTTCAGTTATTCAGCGATCTAGCGAACTCGAAAGTGGACTATTTCTTGGATGAATAGATGACCAAAGTTTCTTATTAGCCATGGTGCTTCGCTGAACGTGCAAGCGTGCGCGAGAGCTCCACTATGGATGAGCCCAAGTAAGAGAGGTGTTGGAGACATACACGTGAATATCTATGTAAAAGACTGGGTAACTGAAATTTTTGCTACCCTATCGGATCTCTCCCCATAAAACTCTGTTGTAGGTTATGCTCTTCCAGTTCAATGATAAACAAAAAAAGGACATTTTGTACAGTCCAACCCGCTATAAGGGCAAACTTCGCTACAACGGTCATCTTCCCACAGCGGCCACTATTTTCCCCGGAAAACAGCCCTTATATTTGCACTCATCTTTATGCTCACATCCATCTGGTCAAAAAGGAAGAGGCCGCTAAAATTTGTCGTTTGTCTGGTTTAGTTGTTCAAGTTTTTTTTTTCTGATTTTCTATTTTCTATTTGATTGACATATAACTCTCGGACGTACATGAAGGGCGTTGTTTCCTAAAGGATAAAGCATCAGCACCTGACGTTTTCCGTAGCTGTTCGTTCATCCCTCGCGCAGATTTTGAGACTAGTTTAGTGATGGTCAGTTTCTATGGTTACGAGATATGAAGTCATAAGGAGCAGGTGGTCAAGCCATTTTTGAGTGGAAATACATGAATTTTCAACTTCTTTCAACAATAAAAGTAAATATTACGGCTAAAACGATGCAAAGTGCTTGTTTATTTTAAGTCAAGCACAAAAAATTACGATTTCTCGCGGTTTTAACCTGATTTTTAATTCTTGGTAAAATCCAAGATGGCGACCCAGAGGGCGACCATTGTTGGTGACGTCACTGGCCTCCAGCAGCGCCACCACTCATAAAATATCCCTCATATTGTTGACAAGATCAAATGCTTTCCACTAAAGGTAAACTCGTTTCCAAATACTGCAACATATCGAAAACTCTGGGGAGGGTTCCATCAACTTCTACCACGCTGGGGGTATAAATTTGTTTGTACGTCCGAGGGTTGAAAAGAACAAAAGCTCTACTTTTTAAAATTATTGGCGAGAGTCTCTTGAAATTCCGGCCTTCCCTGTTTCGGGTATCCACAAATGTACATCTTACTATACCCCAAAGCAGAAGCCGATTAAGCTAGAGGTTCGATTAAAATTAGTTCAATTACCTTAGAGCCAAAAGCCCACTAACTGGATATCCGAACACGCCGGCACAAGACGTAATTACAACGTTCACGTACATATTACCTCCAACAAATGGAGACGCAAAGGCTGTACCCCATGCAACAAAGGAGGCAGCAAACCTAATGAACAGAGAACAAGCAGAACTTCAATTGTGGGCAATTTTCTACCAAAAGTTATAAGAGAATCCTACAACCCTGAACAACATCCTCCTTCATTTGCGTAATTCCTCATGATTTCGTACTCAGAAAAAAAAAATCATGTAATATTCACGTCATAAGCATCCCTTATCACATATATTTATATTTATTATTTTTCTTTCGAGCAATATGTACAACTACGATATTTTTGTAAAAACAAGAACACCCTTACCAGATAAGCCATGAGACTAGAGTCTTGTGTGCCATTTTTCGCGAAGAAAACAGATCTCGTAAGTCACCAAGTGTTTCTTCTTTTGGCAATTTCAGTTCTACCTCTGGCATTTCCTTTTTATTTGATCGTGCAACTTTAGCGAGAATTGTTCTTGCTTCAGATTGCCGTCCTTTCTTAAGAAGCCAACGAACAGATTCTGGGATAAAACTAGGAAAAAATTCAAAATAATTCATGCATGATTTATCATGTATTTATCACAACAAAAGCAATTTTTTTTTCTTTCTTACAACGGTACAATCTACTATGCAGTAACACCACCCTTCTAAAGGGCTTATCCATTGAACATATAAGAACAATAAAAAACAAATTGAACTTTAAACGTGACGAAAGTCATCGCAGTTATGGACGCTACAGTGCGGAAAGAAAGCCTGAAATTCAGGCTTATATTGTGAAATTGCCATTCAAGACCTCTGTGATACCGGTGCACAGCTCTACCTGTTGAACTCGCAAGTCCACAGCTGGGAGCTGATTTTCATATACCCATTAGTGTAAAAACTTTGGGCAAAATGCAAAAATACAGTATGAGAAGGGATTAGCGAAGGGAAAGAAAAGAAGGTATTTTTTTTACCGTAGGCACCGCTAATAATAAGTGCTATGTATACCCTAGGAAGTCTTTATAGAGCTGATGCTTTGGAAGTAAACTTTACGGATTCGCTTTACGACGACATTGCAATTTCAAGCAGCAGTTTTTGTCCTTTGGGAAAGCCGTTACTTTTCTTTAAATTCAAATGTGAACCGACGTCGTTGTGGTCGTCCCCAGCGGACTCTTTGTTTTTACTTACAACCAGCCAGAAACGAGAAGAATTCCCGGGGCTCCGGTCACCATGGTGAAGGTTCTCCAATCCCGTATGGCGTATGCACACCCCGCCAAAGCCATGGCCATCAAAAGGAAACCAGTCCATACTATCCCCCCTGTCATTCCCCTATGACGTACACCAGAGAATTCCGTTAACAGCACAAATAACGGGATGCTGAACGCACCTTACAAAAAAAGATCAATGAGTTAACTCAATAACCCTTCTTTCGACATCCATAATCGTTGACTATACCGAAGGGTTAGAACCTACGAAAAACATGATTTTGTTTCGGTATGGAACAGAAACTCGAGCCTATGACTGCCTACTGACTTGTGGTTATGGTAAAAACGGCCTTCACTTGATTTATGGAAAACAAAGAGTGCATAATATGATCTCTAAAATCAACAATCCTACACCTAAGGCACAGGCAAGAGGTCGAACTTTTCATAAGACGAACCAAACTTAGTGAGTTAAGTTCACTAAATGTTCGACGTCTGGCTCAGTTCTTCACATGAAACGAACTTATTAATAACAAAAAATTGCAAATTTGTATGATAAAGTATATTTAGCCTCGTTCGGGAGGCTATTGAAATTGTGTTTTTGGTTTGATTGTTTGTTTGTTGATTGCGTGTTCAACGCTTCCTAAGTTCGATGACTGACCCAACAGACGATCTTAACTCAATGATTTAGATCGATCAAAATTAAGCTTGGTTCGTCTCATGAAAATTGGACGTTTGACCTAGGCCTAACCTTCGCAAACTTAAACCTTTTACACTAAGCAAACGCCTTTGGATTTTCTTCAGAACCAAGGCTAGAGATGGAGTACTTTAAGACTGAATTACCACCGAATGCCTTGTGAGTGAAGGCTGAAAAATTCACTTGTATTAAGTAAAATAAAAATAAATCATACGTCTCACCAATCATAAACCCAATGATGGCTCGAGAAAGAGCAAACAACCAGAAGACAGGAGCAAAGGATGAAGCAAAATGTAAAACACAGCACAAAAAGCCGCAGATGAAAAGAGGAAGCTTCCTGCCAAACTTGTCAGAGATTGGACTCACAACAATGCTCCCGATGAAAAAACCGGCGAAGATAACGGAGGTTGATACGAAACCCAAAGATCCTCGATCGCACACCAGGTCGAACTATGAATCCAAAGAAATATTACATTAAGTAATGATCCAGGTAAGGTGGATAGCAATTTCTTTTGTTATGCGGCAACGGTGCTTTCCCCACATAGAAATGTTCTCATTTTTACACAGAGAATGCATAAACCTACATGAAGGCCGTTTACGTAATAAAATGCATTTACACTCGACTTTGAAAGGGTGTTTTTTTGTGTTAAAAGATTTTGACCAATCACAAGAGTTGAAAACAATAGCCAAGAAAAGTTTACAATTTTAAAAGTTCCCCACATAGGATTTCTTTGTTATTCAAACTGAGACCAGATTTTGTTATATGGAAGATGGTTGGAAAGTAAGGATGAATATATGTACCGCTTTATGAAGTTTTGTTAACTTTTGCTGTTTAAGCCAATCAGAAGTAAGTACAGACAATAGAAAAGTTAGCACCTTTTTTGCATTCCAACATGTTCGTTGCCGTTGTTGCCATCGTTCCTATCCGGACCGTTTCTTAAAAATGTTATTTGCAAAATGATGCACGTTCAAAACATTTTTGATTCCTGGTTCACGAAATGTTCCGCCACTGAATAATTGAATTTGATCGCATAAAGGGTCTACTGACTAAGCATCAGCGATATTGACATTTACTAGAAAGGGGTAAAATTGATTAAAATGGGGGTGGCAATACTGTGGTGTAGTAAATAGATACCTCAGTTACAATTGAAGAGAAGTCATCAGCAAACTCCCAGTCTTTCCTTGGAATATCACATCTGAAAGAGTACTTGTCACCTCCGAGATTAATAGTTTCATTAAAGGGACAGGTAGTTTTATTTTTACACTTCCAGCCAGGCTCTCCCGCGATGAAAACCATTCCCATCACAGGAACACACCACCAAAAAGAATATGCTAAGTTAGAAAATATGTTGAGAACGATCTGAAAACGACCAAAGCTGCCTATGGTTTCCAAAACTTGGTCAGTGGTTTGCGACTTCATGATAGCTGAAAGAAAAGTACAAACCTAGGATTCAACCGTTAACGTCCAAGCGACGAGGCGGAAACTTTCAAAGTTAAATCTTGAATTGTGCCGGGTTTTTCTATGTTTGTATGGTTGATTGGTTAATTTTATTACTTACAAAAATATGATGTGTGTTCTTCTTTAATTTTTCTCATATCAAAGCTTTGTTTCTTTAAGAATACATTCTTTAAATTCTGCTTTAAAAAAATTTGTGGAAATGAAATTTCATATAATGCCTGTGGTTTCCGATTATATCCAGCCTTTTCCCAAAGCTTTTCAGTAGAAAATGGGAGGCCGGGCGGGAATCTTTCAAAGTCACACGTTAAGAGACTTTTAAATTATTTCATTTATTTATTAATTCTTTTAGCATTTTCAACCTTTTAAGATTCAACCTTAGCCTTAACGTAATATTTATTACATCTGAATCAGAAAGTAGGATTCAATAATCAGTAAAGGAATTGTTAGGGAATACATGATTTATTGTATAGACACAAGTGTTTTAGATACTACTCGTAAAATTCATAAAAACTACATCCGGGAGCCGAGTGGTTTGTTTTCCATAGTCTCACAGGTGAGTTTATCGATGACGCAAATTATTACTGATATGATTTATCTATAATTCAAAGCTTTTTATTACGTATCATTTTTTGAATTTTACTTACACATTTTCCAAAGCTTTGCTTATATAAAATTTATATTTTGTCATTATAGAGCCCTATTCAGCTCAATGTTATTTCTCAAGATTATTGTAAACAATGTCTTGTAAACAATGTCTTGTTGCTGCGCTGTAAATTTGAGCCGTTTTAAACCCGTGAAAGGATGATGATGGCATTATGAATATATGAAAGTCATATATGTAAACTGCGGAGTGAAGAATTATTTGAAGGAAGATCATCGCAGTTATATACGCAACCTTTGTAGTTACGAAAAGAAAGCCTGAAAAAAAAAAAAAAAAAAAAAGATTTTCTCAGTTTGAAAAGTCATGGAATCGTCCACTCTATATATCCAACCGCTAGGAAGAGATTAATCAGAACATGACACGGCACTATCCTGCTCCGCATCAGATTTTTTCCGTGCACGGAGACGACAAAGGGTCACAAAGTGTAACGAGATATTGAATAAGCAGATCATTCATTCCTGCCCGGAATACATCCAGACATGCATGTGAGCTTGTGTGTTATAAAATATAGTTTTCAAAAACTACGGAATACCATGCCATTTAACTGGATTATTAATTCAATGAAGAACAAAAATTTGCAACGGCTTACGACACAAACAGTTGCAAAGTAAGAATTACACAACTCTCCGACAGCTCTGAACAAAGGGAATCAGCGCCTAGTTTGCTCCATAACTAGACTTTCAACATCCGAGCACTCGAACATAAAAGTTGGGCACCACTCGGCAGGAATCTTGACAAATCGCAAGCAAATTTATTCTAATTTTTGAAAACATTTTTTTGTAGGAGCAGAAAAAAATTGCTACATATGGAGACTGTCCAACCGTTTTGGTTGTGTCGGGATTTTCCCGATTTTGCTTGAAAATCCCGAATCCCGACCAATATACGATCGGGATAGGAAAAATACCGATTTTGGCATCTGTTCTGTTTTCCAAATGAATTCTTATAATAATTATAAACGAACACGTAATAGAGTATACTTTACTGAAACGGATATCCAGAAACCGAAACCGAAACCGAACGAAATATAAAATAAAATCGAGTACTTGTACGCGACGCCACGCAAATAAAAATAAGAATAAAAACAATCCATTTAGCGAACATTGTCCTCTCAATTGTCCTCTCAGAGCACTAGAAATAGCATTTCAGAGGGTCAAGATTTCAAAATTTTCTGGAGGAGAATGACCCCAGACCCCCCAAAGCGGCTAACCCTTTCGGCGCTCGCGTGATTCCTCGTTTATTAAGAATATATGCCGATTTTGCATACTCAAAAGGTTGGTCAGTCTGCATACCTGAAAACGTTACAAAGAGAGGCATTTCCTTAATTTGAGCTCTCGCAGAAAGCCCTTTTGCTTGACTTTTCCACAAAATTTCTCCCTCCAATCACAACCGAAGCTATTACCTATTCGCTTGTTGTATTGATGATGTCATCGAGTATCCAGAAATGGTTATGGCCCGGAGTGATAATCTTTACGTTATTTGCGGCGCCCTAAATTGCCCTTTGCAGAACACTAACCTGTTTAAGTCAAAGTTCTATAACTCAGTCGGAATAATTGTAAAGTCCTCACACGGCGGCCAGTTTAAGACGCCTTCTGGCAGTCATGGAGAACGGTAGTGGTGTCTGATTTTTCTCACAATATCAGAGTCTACAATGAGGCTTTGTTAACCCCGCAAGCTAGAAACCTAATTTTAACCCTTTAAACCCTAAGATCAAAATTTGAATTCTCATTTGTTGCCTCTATTCATTTCCTACAGAAGTAGTGGGGAGAAGTTGATAAAATATCAAGCAAATTCATCTTGTGTGATCATGTCCGTAATTCTCATGACCACTCTGTTTTACAAAGCATTGATATTAAAAGGAGAAATTTGATGCTGATCACAGTTAAGGCTTTTAAGCCGTAAGGGTTAATGCGAAAGCGGCTTTTAAAATAGCATTCACGGAATATTTGTAGTGATTATATTTAAGTAAGCTGTCAACTCCTATTGTATTGGAAGAAGGCTCAAGTTTTCAAAGATAGCTTGAAACATTTTCATTGGCCGTCGAACACTTGTAATTTTAAATTCTTTCATCTTTGTACGTAATTTTATGTTTAACAAGGTGAGAATTTTTCTTCGTTGATTAATATCATGTTAACGAGCAACTCTTTTCCCAGGCCGATTTACTTGCTGAACATTCTATTCAATCTTTCTAGCTGTTTGTTTACAGACCGACTTATGCCATTACAAGGTGGGCAACTGCTTGTAAGACCACAGGGAACCTACACAATCTGTGTGTGTAGCCGATTTTATCACGGTAAATGCACTGGATTTACCGTTTGCTTCGCCTTAGCCATATATCACTAAGTATGTATATAAATCAATCTGAAATAAACGTTGAATTACCTTACCTACGTGCGATATGTTGCCGTCCTTTTGCCTCACTGAGAAGTTTTTTTAACGAATTTGAACGATTTTGAGTGCGCCGTTTACTGTTAAAAAAAACCGCTTTTGAGGCAAAAGGACAACAGCATATCGCAGATAAGGTGATTCAATGTTTATTTAACATAGATGATACATATCCTTTCATGTTTATAAAACTATTCATAACATATAACTTTACTGCGCTCTATTAATTTTAAATTTACATCAATACTAAACCTATAAACTGGTGCATGTCTTCGCGGCGTGAAGTCTTAATTAGAATCCTAGCGCTATTACAAAGGAAGACGTTAATTGAAACAAAAAATCGCATATTAAAATGCTTAAAACGGCACTATTCGAATGTGCGAACTGAGGAAGTAATTTAATTAACTCCACTCGATGTTTAGTTTAAATTTAACTGGTTCTTCTGCAGATAGCATTATTTGTGTTGTGTAAGGTATCCCCTCTATGTGTCTCAGTGACTTGGCATTAATTCTTAACTAAAGGAAAACCTTCACAAGGCAAAGTTGAGATTATTAGACACTGCTTTCACATAAATAAAAATATGTTTTCCTCACTTTACCAACAATTATCTTTCGCCTAATAGTATAATGCAACAGATTTTTTGATGGAAATATTCTTTCCAGGGGTGCCTAACCACGTTGGAAATTACGGAAATTGCAGGGGGTGGTAGGGTCTGACAGGCACCCCCCTGGAATGGAAATTCCAGGCGGGTGGGGGGTCTAAAGCAAAAATGCCCTACGTGGGGAGGGTATGGATATTTTCTGGCAATACACAGTGCCTAGTTACTACATCAGTTTTAATTGAAGCAGTAGCGAATTGTAGCCGGATCTTTGTTGGACCAGAAAACAAAATGATATTGAAATGAACTCTAGATTGACTGGATAGCTAAATATTGCTATGAACCAAAACTTTACCCTGTTTCTCCAGGCCGGACGCTACGCTACCAAGTGAGAGAGAGCACTGAGAGCCACCATTTGCTTTTCCATAGAGCGTGTACGTCCACGTGACGCGGCTGACGTCTACATTTTAAAAAACGTCAAAAGACATTTAACTTCCTTTGCTCGCGGGACATTGATTGCCACATTGTACTTGGTCGCAACCTGGTCGCCATGCATTCTGCGTCATTGAAAAACGAGTACAGCAGGCTCGCGTCAATGCAGCAATTATAAGAGTAAGCAAATGCGCGAGAGCCTTAGCTTGTTTTTTAAACAGGTTTACCTGTTCAAAGTTAATTTATTCGTCAAGGAAGCAAACAGTCGCTCGCAGTGTTTTTCTCCCCTCTTAGCGTAGCCTCCTGCTTGGAGAAACCATGACTGCTCGCCGGGTACCAAAACCGGTGATTTCTTTTAACATATATTTGAAGTGAGGAGGTAATTTACATCAAGGTGCTTTTCTCGTTGTCCACATTATCAGAATTCTTGTTGTTTTGATCGTAATCATTTTGATCGAGGCACAAATTTTCCAAGGTGGGTTGGTTATGGGTTTCAGGTGCAGTCATAACTGCAACTGCCGCTGCAACTGCGAGGCCAGCCATGATTCCAAACGGCAAGAAACGGTGAACGGTGAGCTGAAAAAGAAAGGTGAAGCAAATGTTGAGTTAACCTGAAATGTCGTTGAGAGCCGGTCCTATTACTAGTGAAAAAAACATTGAGCCAACAAAATGCATGTAAAACCTTTGTAACAGTCGATTTAAGATTTAGCTACCAGTTGTAAGTATTAGTTTTCTGGTATTTATCAAATCGGTGGATAGCAATTAGTTTTTGCACGTTTTGATTAGCTCTCGCAACTCGGAATATCCTTGGCTTCTTATTGTTTTGGAACGAGATTCAAAAGGGAGCTGAAGCAACAACGACGGTGGCGGGGACTGCTAAAACTGGACAAGTTTCCTAAGGGCCCTTCCCCTAGACCCAATCAATAAGGACAATCGGGGTGGCCACGTACCAAAAGAGGCGCGTAAGCAGCAGCAAAAGCGCTCACACGAGCTGATGCTGTTGATGTTCCCATGCCAACACTCCTGAGAAAAACGAAAGAACCAGTATGAACCGTTAATGCAAAACTGTAGCTGTTATGCTAATTTGTTTGGTTTATAACGTAAATTTGAGATGCAGAGATTCATAGCTGGCCTAGCCTCCTTAGCAGGCGTCGAAAGGGGTAGGGGATAGGGAGAAAGGGGAAAAGGGAAGGAGATTGGTTGGCCGTCAAATTTTGTTATGAATATTAGCTTTTCTGTGGTTTCTCGTTACATCAGCAAAATAACTGAAGAACGAAAAAAACTCGTGGCAAAATTTTTGGGTTATCAGCCACGAATCTAAAGCAATTAAGGCATCAAAAACCGAGAGCAATATAGTAACGTCACCTTAAAGTTGTCGGAAACAGCTCCGCAGCGTAAATATACACCAACGAAAATGCAATCTCAATGCTAAACTTGGCAACCACCATAGACATGAAAATTTTCCCTGCCAAGTATCCTGAGGGATAGATTGAGAAAAGATGTTGGTTGTTAATGCAGCCATCAGTCTAAGTTAAGCTAGTTCAAGGGCGGCATTCAGTTGATCAGAATAGGCGGTAATAAGGAGCTGAGATTTTAAAAGTTGCTTTAGCGATAGTGGCTTCTGGCTTATTTCTTTTCTCTCCTTTCCTTTCTTTTTTATTGATTTATTGGTGATCTCAATACATAAGTAAGTGTTTGATTTTTTAAAAAAATTGAAATTCATTTGCCTCTTACATTGCTTAGGAAAGAATGCGAGTGCTGGGAATAGCTCAGAATTTCCAAGGAACTCAATACTCCTAAACGATATTTGCATCCTTTTCATGTCATTTAAGTTGATGACGTACCTTGATCGTCCTCTGCTTTGTCAGTGAGTAGGACCGCACCTATTGCACCAACAGCAGCTCCCAAAAAAGAGACCATGAGAATTTTTCGGCGACCAAACCTTTGAAAAAAATTGTTGAAAGAAATATAAACAATTCCTTCAAGGCATGTTACCTTTCCAGAAACCTAGTGCAGTAACCATTAAGATTTTGAGACTTTTTTGACCAGAACAGATAGTATAATATATGCTCACATGGTGGGTGGCTCCTCCTAAAATGTTCTGCAATTCGTATAGGAATTAATGGAGCCGAAACCAATTGTGGAATTGCGGGCATTTTAGGCATCATACTGATGAACAGTTGTGACACGTAGATATATATTTTTTAGCAACTACTATAATTTGCAGTCTGTCCACTTTGAATATAGATCGAGCCAAGACCTAAAAGCGAAGCCCTCGTGAGTGCTTTTAAGAACCATCTTCCTAAAGTAAAGTTTTCTGAGCCTGCGATGACTTGAATACATAAATGTTAGCAGAGAGCCTTTAAAAGAACAGGTCACTTCGGTGAGTTGTACATGTGGGCCTGCGATACAGTCATTACACTGTTCAGCGGGTATCCTATTTTGGCAGCTGTCAATTGATCATGACATGGACGCCCAATATCAGGTTAAGTGCAACTTGTATATTCCTTGGTTTTGGAAGGTAAAAACTAAGATACTACACATCCGCTAGCGTGAAAGGGCGGACGTACGGACGGAGGGACGGAAGTAAGAACAACGATTTTTTCAGGAAAATTTGTCCAGTTTCGAATTAAAAATTACCGCTGAATACGAACATTAACGACACATTCATACAGGGTAGCCTCCACATAAATAACAATTATCATTCATTCAAAATATTTCCCTGATTCTGATTGGCTAAAAGCACACGTTTAATTCACCATAACCAGTTACTGATGACCAAATTTGGAAGAATTTTGACTTTAACGAGGAAATGACGTCAAAAATGCAGCGTTTTCGCAGGTTAAGGCACCGTTAACCGAGAAGACCTGGGGACAAGGTTGAGTTGTTTTCGTTGTGAACTTGAAAAAATGGCGGACATTTCACTCGTTTCAAGAGTAAGAACTAGACGAAAAAATAGCTAAAAACATGGCAAGAACAGCAAGAAGACAACTCGAAGGGCGACATCTGCTATTTGGAGAATATTTGCGGAGCTGAACAAACCTAAACGTACACTATCGAAGATGAACTGAACATCGATGGATCGATGGAGGTAAGCATGTTTTAGCTATGTTTTTAAACTAGGAATTATTTTGAATGAATAATAAAAAAAGTTATTGAAGTCGGCTTTCGTGTCATATGAAGAATTATAGAGATAGAGGAGGGTGTTATCCGTCGAGGCAGTAAGCCGTAGGTACTCAGCCTCATTCATGAACTGTTAATTATTCATCGAAGTGGAGGTGGCTAGTAAAAAAATCTTTTACACCGGTTAATATCGATAAATTCAAGTCAAAAGACAAAGCTTTGCTCCTCGCTGTCAAAACTTCCAAACCGAACTTCGTCGCCTTCTTTGTGCATTTCGGGAACAGCTTGCCTGATTAGTTGTGAAATTTCTTTGTTTGTTACGGCGTCAACCGAGGAAGGCATTTTGCTCGCAACTTACGCGACTTGGCGTCGCTCGCTCGGAGGAACTGGAGGTGAATCAGTGAATAGTGCAGGATATTCACTGATTGAGTAGCCAATCAGAGCGCGCAAAAAAACACTATGTACTGTTTTAGTATACACTAAAGTAAAATATTCACGAATTCCCGCAAAAAAGTGTTTGAATTTTTTAAATACACAATAGACAGAGTAACAAAGAGGCCTTCATCTCGTCGGAAATTGTAGATATATTAACTCCAGATGGAGGATAAGCCTGTAAAAAACGCGTTTTCACTTCAATTATTAGGGACCTTAAGCGAGGACGACGACGACGGCAGTGGAAACGTCGGTAAAAAAATAAATTTGCGTTCTTTCAAACTTAATTGCGTCTATTTTGACCCGCTCAATATGTCAAGTGCAGGCGACTTTTCTTGGAGTTGAATTCTTAACGATTTTATTCAGGTTCAAAAAGAGTAAGGAAAATTCGTCGTCGTGTCTTCACGACCTCCATAAAAGGGCAAATTAGGAGGTTTCACGTCGTAGTCGTGCATTGGGCGTCGAAGAAATGTACTAAAAAGCGTGATTCACGTGCAGAGCCGTTTTTTTTATTATTAAATCTATTGTTTTTTTGAAGTCGTCGTTGTGGTCGTCGTCGTAGTTGCTTAAGCTCCCTATTCAGCGATCTAGCGAACTCGAAAGTGGACTATTTCTTGGATGTACAGATAACCAAATTTTCTTAGCTATGGTGCTCCGCTGAACGTGCAAGCGTGCGCGAGAGTTCCACGATGAATAAGGGCCACTAAGAGAGGAGTTGGAGACATAAACGTGAATGTCTATGTAAAAGATTGGGTAACTGGAATTTTTGCTACCCTATCGGATCTCTCCCTATAAAACTCTGTTGTAGGTTATGCTCTTCCAGTTCAAGGTTATTTTGTATAGTGCAACCTGCTATAAGGGCAAACTTCACACTTCGCTACCACGGTCATCTTCCCACAGCGGCCACTGTTTTCCCCGGAAAACAGCCTTTATATTTACACTCATCTTTACGCTCACAACCATCTGGTCAAAAAGGAAGAGGCCGCTAAAATTTGTGTCTTGTCTGGTTTAGTTGTTCAATTTTTTTTTCTGATTTTCTATTTTGTATTTGATCGACGTTTTTTAGATATGCTATAATACATTTTAATTCTCGGACGTACATGAAGGGTGTTGTTTCCTAGAGGATAAACATCAGCACCTGACGTTTTCAGTAGCTGTTCGTTCATCCCTCGCGCAGATTTTGAGACGAGTTTAGTGATGGTCAGTTTCTATGGTTACGAGATATGACGTCATAAGTAGCAGGTGGTCAAGCCATTTTTGAGTGAAAATACATGTTTTTTTCAACTTCTTTCAATAATAAAAGTAAAAATTGCGGCTAAAACGATGCAAACTACGTATTTATGTGTGATTTTTCATGTCAAGCACAAAAAATTACAATTTCTCGCGGTTTTAACCTGATTTCTAATTCTTGGTAAAATCCAAGATGGCGGCCAAGTGGGCGACCATTATTGGTGACGTCACAGGCCTCCAGCAGCTCCACCACCCATAAAATATACCTCATCTTGTTGAGAAGATCAAATGCTTTCCACTGAAGGCAAACTCGTTTCGAAAAACTGCAACATATCGAAAACTCTGGGAAGGGTTCCATCAACTTGTACCACGCTGGGGGTATAAATTTGCGTGTACGTCCGAGGCTTGAAAAGAAAAAAGTTCTACTTTTTAAAATTATTGGCGAGTCTCTTGAAATTCCGGCCTTCCCTGTTTCGGGTATCTACAAATGTACATCTTACTATACCCCAAAGCAGAAGCCGATAAAGCTACAAGTTCGATTATAATTAGTTCAATTACCTTAGAGTCAAAATCCCACTAACTGGATATCCAAGCACGCCGGCAGAGGACGTAATCACAACGTTCACGTACATATTACCTCCAACAAATGGAGACGCAAAGGCTGTACCCCATGCAACAAAGGAGGCAGCAAACCTAATGAACAGAGAACAAGCAGAACATTAATTGTGGACAATTTTCTGCCAAAAGTTATAAGAGAATCTTACAACCCTGAACAACACTCTCCTTCATTTGCGTAATTCCTGATGATTTCGTACTCAGCCTCCTTAAAACTTATGTAATATTCACGTCATAAGCATCCCTTACCACATATTTATTAGCGAAGGAAAAAGCCAGGGTAATTTGATTTATTTTTCTTTCGAGAAATATGTACAACTATGATATTCTTGTAAAAACAAAAACACCCTTACCAGATAAGCCAAGAGACAAGCGTCCTGTGAGCCATTTTTCGCGAAGAAAACAGATCTCGTAAGTCACCAAGTGTTTCTTCTTTTGGCAATTTCAGTTCTACCTCTGGCATTTCTTTTTTATTTGATCGTGCAACTTTAGCGAAAATTGTTCTTGCTTCAGATTGCCGTCCTCTCTTAAGAAGCCAACGAGCAGATTCTGGGATAAAACTAGAAAAAAATTTAAACTAATTCACGCATGATTTATCATGTATTTATCACACCAAAAGCAATTTTACTATTTTTTTTTCTTTCTTACAACGGTACAATCTACTATGCAGTAACACCACCCTTCTAAAGGGCTTATCCATTGAACATATAACAACAATAACAACAAAACTTTAAACGTGACGAAAGTCATCGCAGTTGTAGACGCTACTGTGCGGAAAGAAAACCTGAAATTCAGGCTTATATTGTGAAATTGCCATTCAAGACCTCTGCGATACCGGTGCACAGCTCTACCTGTTGAGCGCGCAAGTCAACAGCTGGGAGCTGATTTTCATGTACCCATTAGCGAAAAAACCTCGGGCAAAATGCAAAAATACGGAATGAGATGGGGGTGGCGAAGGGAAAGGAAAGAAGTGGAGGTAAACTTTACAGATTCGCTTTACGAAGACAGTTGTTTTTATCCTTTGGGAAAGCCGTTACTTTTCTTTAGATTCAAATGTGGACCGACGTCGTTGTCGTCGTCCCAGGCAGACACTTTGTTTTTACTTACAACCAGCCAGAAACGAGAAGAATTCCCGGAGCTCCGGTCACCATGGTGAAGGTTCTCCAATCCCGTATGGCGTATGCACACCCCGCCAAAGCCATGGCCATCAAAAAGAAACCAGTCCATACCATCCCCCCTGTCATTCCCCTGTGACGTACACCAGAGAATTCCGTTAACAGCACAAATAACGGGATGCTGAACGCACCTTACAAAAAAAGATCAAAGAGTTAATTCTGGACTCAATAACTCAATAACCCACCCTGTCTTTCGACATCCATAATCGTTGACTCTATTGAAGGGTTAGAACCTATGACGAACATGATCAAGTTTTGGCATGGAACAGAAACTCGAGCCTATGACTGCCTACTGACTTGTGGTTATGGTAAGAACGGGCTTCACTTGATTTATGGAAAACAAAGAGTACATAATATCTCTAAAATCAACAATCCTATACCTAAGGTAAGGCAAACCGTCGAACTTTTCATAAGACGAACCAAACTTAGTGAGTTAAGTTGATGAAAAGTTCGACGTCTGCCTCAGTTCTTCACATGAAACGAACTTATTAATAACTAAAAATTAAAAACTTGTATGATAAAGTATATTTAGCCTCGTTGGGGAGAAAATTTATTAAAATTGTGTTTTTGGTTTGATTGTTTGTTTGTTGATTGGGTGTTCGACGCGTCGATGACTGACCCAACAGACGATCTTAACTCAATTTAGGTCGACCAAAATTAAGTTTGGTTGGTCTCATGAAAATTAGACGTTTGACCTAGGCCTAACCTTCGCAAACTTAAACCTTTTACACTGAGCAAACACCTTTGGATTTTCTTTGGAACCAAGGTTAGAGCTGGAGTACTTTAAGAATGAATTACCACCGAATGGCTTGTGAGTGAAGGCTGAAAAATTCACTTGTATTAAGTAAAATAAAAATGAATCATAAGTCTCACCAATCATAAACCCAATGATGGCTCGAGAAAGAGTAAACAACCAGAAGACAGGAGCAAAGGATGAAGCAAAATGTAAAACACAGCACAAAAAGCCGCAGATGAAAAGAGGAAGCTTTCTGCCAAACTTGTCAGAGATTGGACTCACAACAATGCTCCCGATGAAAAAACCGGCGAAGATAACGGAGGTTGATACGAAACCCAAAGATCCTCGATCGCACACCAGGTCGAACTATGAATCCAAAGAAATATTACATTAAAAATGTTATTTGCAAAATGATGCACGTTCAAAACATTTTGGATTCCTGATTCACGAAATGTTCCGCCACTGAATAATTGAATTCGATCGCATAAAGGTTTCACTAAGCATCAGCGATATTGAAATTTACTAGAAAGGGGCAAAATTGATTAAAATGGGGGTGGCAATACTGTGGTGAAGTGAATAAATACCTCAGTTACAACTGACGTGAAGTCATCAGCAAACTCCCAGTCTTTCCTTGGAATATCACATCTGAAGGAGTACATGTCACCTCCGAGATTAATAGTTTCATTAAAGGGACAGGTAGTTTTATTTTTACACTTCCAGCCAGGCTCTCCCGCGATGAAAACCATTCCCATCACAGGAACAGACCACCAAAAAGAATATACTAAGTTACAAAATATGTTGAGAACGATCTGAAAACGACCAAAGCTGCCTATGGTCTCCAAAACTTGGTCAGTGGTTTGCGATTTCATAGCTGAAAGAAAAGTACAAATCTAGGATTCAACTGTTAACGTTCAAGCGACGGGCGGAAACACGGTGTGTTAAAAACAACCTCGTTCCCAGGCTCCTCTCCTACGAGGTTGACGGTGTAACCGATTGTAACCGATTAAGTTCAAGAGAAGTAACTTTTTCATTTCTCAAGCTAATAGAGATATTAAGATTCACGTTCAGGCCAAACGGCAGACGTGAATTTGTACCACGTGTCCAAGTCTTTCCCTTATTTTCCGTTTAATCTTTATTGCTTCTACACAAAAACAAGTAGTTTTATGCCAGTTTTAACCACTGGAATCGTTCGGGACTGTTTTTATCTCCTTATTTTCTATTCTGAGAAATTCTCAACTTGACTCTGACGTTTGCCGTCTGCGGTAAACGTGAATCTTAATCTCCCTAATAAATGATTATGAAATTACTTTACAACAGGTGCCCTCTTGTTGTTGTTGCTTTTACACCTTAGCAGCGCGTTATCACACAATTGAAAATACTGACGTACTGATTTAAAAGGGGGTCTGAATGGGGGTACCTCGATAACACTAAAAATCTCATTTTTTTAATAATCTGTTCATGTTGTCCTTCAGCAGCATGATTAAAAATATATAAAACTGTTCTAGTGAGGGCTTGAACTGCTGTTTAAAAAGTAAAAACTAAAATCCAAGCTTTCGTCGATCAACGGCATCATCAGGGATGAGAAAACATTCCGCGCGCTATATATATGCAAAGAAAGTGTAGGGTGAAATGTGTAAAAGATGTGACGCATGTGTGAAAGCTATAGAAATAAACTGTGAATGGAATACAAAGCTCTAATGATGGAGTGTCTCTAGACAAAGGACCTCTAAAATAAAATACTAAAATAGAAGGTCTGCGAAATCAGTACATCCTTCTCGAGAATTGAGTGTAGGCTTGCCCTTTCTAATGTAAAATGATTCATAGAGGCGTAGATTAGCGGGGTCGTTTTCGCTCATAATAATCTTGACATTACTGCCTTTATAGTCTTTGTTCTGGCAGGAATAGATATGTTTTTTAACAGAGGAGATTTCATTATTGAGATGTTCTCTTACGCGGTCGTGGATGAAGCGTGTCGTGCTACCGAGCAATGTATTTCTGATCGCAGCTGTTACACTTAAGCTGGTACACTGCATTTCTTCGTCAACACAATCCGGTGTTAGAGATAGGGCATTTGTCTCTAGTGCATGTGCTCTCCGTGGAGGTGTGGGATAGAGCTTCTCTGAGCGTGTAGGATTCATTTTTTGGCCTTGTAAGATGAAACAGCTAAATTTTAGGTATTTTAAGGTCTTTTAACAGTCACAGTAACTCAGTAAAAAATTCTTTGAAAAAAGCACAGGCGCCAAAAAGCCAATATTATTTTGTTTATGCACCTATCAATGTAAAGCCGGCAGGGGCGGCAGGGCATGGGGTGGGAATTTGATTATCTTTGTTGGCCCTGGGGTAGGGCATTTGACCGATCTTGTTCTCCCGGGGGAGGGGATATTTGAGTCCTTATTCGCCCGACGTGGAGATATTTGACTGCCGACTCGGACGGAAGAGACTGAGACCGAAAATATGTTTCCCCGCTTCCACGCTTCACGCACGCGACATACGGTCTGGAATTGAAAGATCTGAAAATCATGGAAGCCAACGAGAACAGGCCAAAGGTGAGTTGATTTCACTGTATTGGTCAATTGAACCTTTAAGATACTGTGGTATCAAAGTAAACGGAAGTAAAGAGAAACCAAGTCGTTTTTTGCAAGTACAATTGATCAGTGTATGACTCATTCGCTACAATCACTGTATAAAGCTTAAAAAACTGACTTTCTTTGTAGCCTTTACTAAAAACAGTATATCAAACCTACAAAATGTGGACTTTCTCGTAAAGGTTTCTGTATCATGCTACGCAGTGTATTAAAACACGGACTGAATGGTTAAAACGTAAAACGTATAATTGCAGCTGTAACAGAAACATCTATCTTTGGTGACGCAGCAACGTTTATAAATAAAGCTTGCAGATTTTTATTTGGAGATTTTTTTATTGTGCCTTTATTGGGTCCAGCCTTGGGACGAACAGCAACGTGCAGCCCGGGGTGGGGAAATTTGGTTGCAATTGACTGGAATGATTTGCCCGTGCGCAGGGAATTTGACGGCAAATTTTTGAAAAATCTCAAATCCCCACCCCATGCCCTGCTTCCCCCCTCCACGGCTGTGTATAAAAGTGGGACGGGGACAAGGGGAAGGGGACATCGGGACGCGTGTATTGGGACTTAGGGAAGCAGACGAAGGACTTGAGGACATCAAGTATGGAACGCATGGACGTGTGGGACGGGGACGCGGGGACGTCAAATACAGAGAAGAAGGGGACGCGGGATGTGACTAATTATTCCAAAGTCGGAGGTAAATGCGATATCTCTTTCTTCGTGAAAATATGTTATTTATGGTCAACATTAGATTCCATCTTCCAAAACCACATTGGACACCTTATGATGTTTACACAAAATATTTCTTTATAATAGGAGTAAGCGCACTGACTATTGTGGGCGCGATCCATTCAACCAAACTGATTCAGACCGGTCCGACCGGGAAAAGTGGTCTACCCCAAAAAATGGACCAGTGTTTTCGAAACTTTTCCGGTTGGACCGAACCGATCCTTTGAGTTTTGGACCGAAATTCCCGGAAATTTTGGTTGAATGGATCGGGCCCCGTGATTAGGGTTAGGGTTGATTTCCACTGTCGCCTAATTTTTCCATGCGTATGTGCGTAAAATTTGCGTTTACAAATAAAATAGAGGCAATGTATGAAAGGTCGCACGTAAGCGTAAAAGTAGAATCTCGCTCAACTTCACGTTTAATCTCAACAATTTATATCTTATTTCGATCTTATTTACGTGATTAAAATTTACTTGCGTTAACGTGCATAGCCAAAAACGCGTCAGTGGAAATCAACCTTTAAGTACTGTTAGCAAGCATTTACTGTTAGGTTTGCCACCAAAAATATGTAGAACAAAATAAATATTGCTACAATAGTTGAATCCCCCGTGGTTTGGAAGTGGAGGCGATGGATTTCGGAGTTAGCACTTCAGGATTCGACGCTCGCTTATGCCACTTAATTTTAAATTTATTTGGAATCGAATGCTGTTATTCTACGTAATTTTTGGCGATCGCAACCCACTCTAACCTGCTTTGGGCTCCAATATTCCATCAGCAAACAACACGTGGATAAGCTTCTGGTTAAGATTTCCAAGAGAATCAGTGTCCTCGGAAGAATTAGAAACAATCTAACTGTCGATGCAGCCAATAAAGTTTATCAGTCTCTTGTTCTGCCGGTTATGGATTATTGCGATGTTGCTTGGAGCAGCATTGGGAAAATAGAACGTGATAAGTTAGATCGAGCACGGAGAAGGGCAGCAAAGATTGTATTGAAGACCAAAGATTCAGACACCGAGAAGAATTTAAGGTGGCTTCCCTTGTCTATGAGGCGTGATATGCACACTATTGATTTGACTTTTAAATGCCCGAAGGGATCCCCTCCAATGTTTTTTAAAGATTATTTTGAGGTTTTTAGAACAATCCACAACGAGGGGAAGTGGGCACAACTTACTGCTCCCCAAAGTCAGAACTGAGACGGCAAGGAAGTCTTTTTATTTTAATGGATCTAAACTTTTTAGTAACATGATTGCAAGTGAAGTAAAGGATTCTAGGTCAGTTGTGATTTTTAAAACTCGTATTTTGGAATTACATATAGATCAAAAGTTTTTTAGTCAGTTGTTAAGTTTTTGTATTAGTTTAGCTTTTAAATGCATTTTAATTGCTGTATTTGATCTTTTTTAAACAAGTTTTTTTAATCTTGTTGTATTTTTAACTGTTAGTGTATTTTAGTTGCCGTAATTTATATATATATATTTTTTTTTTTTTTCAGGGCTCTCATTGATAGCAGCAATTTATGCTGAAGAGATAACCCTGAACTAAATAACATTTATTATTTATAGCAAGAAGACCAGGACAACGGTTTCACTTTCTTCAATGCAGGGGGCCTTCGCCGAGTCTTCGCTTCGTAATCAGGCACGGAGGAACCCTAAGGAGGGAAGGGTGGGTTGCCTTCACCAAAAGGTATTCACAAGGAAAGTGACTGATATCGTATTTACCTCCGACTTTTGCAATAATTATTCGCATCCCGCGTCCCCTGCGTCCCTGTGTTTGACGTTCCGCGTCCCCGTCCCACACGCCCCCGCGTTCCATACTAAATGTCTTCAAGTCCCTCGTCTCGCGTCCCTAAGTCCCAAGTCCCCACACACGCGTCCCAATGTCCCCGTCCCATTGTCGCCGTCCCACTTTTATACACAGCCGGCCATTTAGTGTTTTGAAAACCTTGACCGGCAGTCGAGCTGAAAAGAGTTCTAAGTGTCACAAAACACGGTTTCGTCTTCTGAGCCCAGCGTAAACCAAACACTAGACTTGGGATTTATAAAGCATTTCAGCATCGCTTGACTTGTCTTAATCGACATATGATAGTTTAGATTAGCGAGAATCTTTCGATTTTGTGAAATTTACCGAGAATATGGGACTGCCGGCCATTTAGGGTTTTCAACCCTTGACCGGTTACCGGCCATATAGCCACAGCGTAATTGTTAATTGTCCAGTGTGAAGCACGGTACAAAATATCAGTCAAAGCAGGAAAAGGTGTTTTCCACATGATTCCTGGTCATGTCTGTGAGAAAAATACTCGAAACCTTTATACGTTTTTTTCCTTCCTCTTTCAACAGAAAATACGTCCAAACGATCGCTTGTACGGTCGTTTTTGTTCAACGCTTATCCGGGCCGCAATGCTACTTGTCCTCTTTCCAGCTGTTCCAACAAAAACGATGGTCCACGCGGTCGCTTTAACTGTGTTTCTACCGTTTCTTGTAAAGGATCCGTTTGTGTAGAAGTTTTAACCAGTTTCAATGGTAGGTTCTTCGATGAAGAAGGACAATTTATCAAGTACACAC